ATGAAAAAATCAAATAAGATGATGATAAAATTTTGAATTGATCAAATTTTGATCAAGTGTTCCCCATATCCAATTGAATCGGTAAATATTGAATCTTATCCGGTTACCATTAATGAAAAAGTCAAATAAGATGATGATAAGATTTTGAATGGGTCATAGTTTGACCAAGTGTTCTTCATATCCATTTGAATCGGTCTAATACGATGTACACGTTATAAAGCATTTCATATAAACCGGAAGAGGCACATTAATCTAGCATTCGTCTATCATGAATGCCTAGCCATTAACCACAAAACCTTGGTTCTATCTCATGCTCGTTGTCTCCTCCTTTGGTTTTTCTTTCTATTAAAATCGAATGAGCCAAAGATGTCTTATGTTTAACCCTAGCCCAGGTAAGAAATTTCTATATGTTCGTCATTTTGTTTAACAAATTTTTTATGTCATTTTGTTGATCTGCACCCGTTGCTTTGCACAGGTAAACGGCTAGTATGTGTGTGTGTGTGTATATATATATATATATATATATATATATATATATATATATATGCACAAAGCTCTTATGAATAGTATATTTTCTATTATTTTAAGTTTTGCTACAAAATTTCAATACTTTGTCACTTTTGGTCTCTTTTCAACTTTTTCAAAGTTTTAGCTCAAAAGCTTCAACACTTTGTCACTTTTAGTTTCTTCTTAACTTTTCACCACATTAGTTGTGGAGTTGACACTTTTGGTCCTCCAGCTTCGATATTCTCTATTGTTAGCCACAAAAGGTTCAAGAGTTTTCTACTTTTGGTCATTGGCATTTACCAAATGTGAAACCTTAAGTTTTTACCACATTAGTTTGTGGTGTTGTCGCTTTTGCCCCCCCCCCCTCCCTTTGATATTCTACTATACGGTTTTAATTCCCTCAAAGAACAAACACACACACACACACACACACACATATATATATATATATATATATATATATATATATATATATATATATATATATATATATATATAGGGATGAGTGTAGGCGGGTACCCGCCTCATTTGGTGAGAACCGGAATCGGAACCGGCTGTTCCTAGAAAGTTAGAACCGGAACCAGAATCGATCTAGGTAGTTCTTAAATGTTTGGAACCAGTCCCGGAACCGGCGGTTCCGGTTCTGTGAGCGGGTAACCCGGTCGCGTTAATTTTGTTAGCTTTTTTCGACAAAACCGCAATTTAGTTCGATCCAAATCAAATCAATTCGGACCAAAGATGGACAAAATCGGACCAATATATTCTAAACCGATCTAAGTAACACATATTTATATGAAATTATATATATATATATATATATATATATATATATATATATATATATATAAAGCGGTTTCGTCGGGTACCCAGCGGGTAGCAGTTCCAAAAAAACGAGAATCGGAACTGGAACTGCCTAAGGCAGTTCCATAACTTTAGGAACCTGAACTGGAACCGCTTAAGGCGGTTCCAGTTCCAAAACCGGCAGTTCCGAGGCGGTTCCGGTTCCAAAAGCGGGTACCCGGTTCCGATGCTCGTCCATACATATATAAAGTTTCAATAAATTCCCACTTTTGTTCCCTCCTCAACTCTGTACCACATTAGTTTGTAGAGTTGGCACTTTTGGTCCCTCGACTTCGATATTCTCTATTGCTAGCCACAAAGGGTTCAAGAGTTTCCTACTTTTGGTCCCTAGCATTTACTAAATGTGACACCTCAAATTTTTGCCATATTAGTTTATGGAGTTGCTGCTTTTGGTCCCCTCCCCCCCCCCCCCCCCTCTCCCACAAACACACACACACACCCACACCTTCGATGTTCTATTATGCGATCTTATTTTCCTCATGTAACAACACATATATTTAATTACCAATGATAGCAATAAATACAAATAAAGTATTTGTAGAACTATGTAAGAACGTTGCTACTATAAGTAACAATAATCTTTTCAAAGTACGATGCTCTAATTGGAAAAAAGGTTTTAAAAAAAGTACCGACCCCGGGTGACGCCCGGTTTTTTTACTAGTTTTATATCAATTCTTCTTACCATATACTTATAAAAGTATGATTTTTTGAGGAGTTACTTTGATGTGATGCAACAATCTTTCCCACAAAAAAATTATATTAAAATGACTACTTTATATACAAGAATGTAAGAAACTGAAAAGGGAAATAAAAAAGAACTTATAAAACTAAAAAAGATATTATATCATACAAGAAAAGTCATCCACAAAATTCCGTTTGTAGAATAAATTGTGTTTGGGTTAGAGTCATGGTTTATCTAATATCCAGATCATGTTATTAGAAGGTACGAAATCTAACTACAATATGTTAAATTCTTTTCTGTGAAAAAGTAAAAAATTTCTAAACAATTTTTTTATAACGATAACATACAAGTAGCTTAATTATAACATATATGAAATGGTATTTTCAAAACTCACTCAACTCAACTTGATTATTTATATTAAAAAGTTATATATAACAATATTTATCAATTTGAGTATTTTTTTGGCATTGATATTTTTGAGGTCGGCTCATTCTATTACATAATACCACTAATTATGATTTTTTATGTAGAAATGGAGGAAAATGTCACAAAGCCCTTAATATTACACCTCATCAACACTCTTAGCTTAAAAATAGATTTTTTTTTGTTTATACTCCAAAATTTGTCGAGTGCCATTTAGCCGGGTTGGGGCTTCTATTCCCGGTTACCATGCCACGTAATGATGTAAACTTAAAGATGCATTTTTTTGTAAAAATGTGTTTTCAGTTTCTTGGAAAAAAAATAGAAAAAGTTGTAGAGTTGTCATTTATAGTTTTCTATAAATAATTTAGAAACCACGTTTGGTTAAAACTAATTGAGTTTTCATTTTCCATTTTAGTAAATTAAGAATGTAGGGGTGAGCAAAAACCGAACTGATAAAAGAAAAACCGCAACCAAAAAACCGAAACCAACGCACAAACCGACGGTGTAGATTTTATTTTTTTGAAGAACCGAATTTATTGTTGCGGTGCGGTTTTTATCTAGTACCGGACCATCAAAACCGAACAGCACCGCAAGCTTATTTACAATAAAATAAATTACTAATTTATATTATACAAGTATACATATTATTTAAAAAAACTAATAAATTCTATTTTATACATATATTATATATTGAACTTGAAAATAATTAGTAATTAGGTATTAGGTGTAATATGTGAGTTTGTGTTTGTAACTTAATGATTATGTGTAAAGTGTAAAGATTATGTGGGTTACAACTTGCAAGCTTATAAATTGTAAACACAGATTGAATAAAAAAAATAAGCTTAGGAATATGGGTTGTAAATGAAGTGAACAAGTAAACAACATAAAATACTCAAAATTACAGTTTCTAAATGTAAGGAAACGAAATGACAGCATGTCATAAAATCATAAATCTTTACATGAACACCACGGTTAAAAAATAGTATTGATGAACATAAAAAACGGCACCATATGTTTGACTCGGTTTAAAACCGACACCGAACCGGTACAAACCGAAACCGCGCTCAAAAACCGCAAAACCGAACTATTGAAAAACCGCACCCAACGGTTTCTAGAATTCAAAAACCGCACCTTGCGATTTGAGGTTCGGTTTGGCTCTAAAACCGCACCAAACCGCACCATGCTCACCCCTATTTGTATGTGTATCTTGTATCGGTTTTCATTTTCCAATTTTGGTATGCGTATATATGTATATGTGTAACGTGTACGTGTGCAGCTATGTATAAGTATATTTGTATGTATAATTGTATTTGTATATCAATACATGTGTATGTGTATGTGGTTATACATAGATAAATATCATAAAAATAGTTTAATACTATAACGAGTCAAGTGACATTTTCAAACCTTACTCAACTCAACTATATTATCTCTATTATAAAGTTATAATAATATTATTAATCGGTTATAGTGTTGCCTAACTCAATACTTTTGAGGTCTGCTACACTATATATAATACAAGAAATTATGTGATCATACATAGAGAAAATGGTAAAAATATACAATATTACATGTGTTTCATTTAGCCTAAAAATATATGAATAATTCTCATACTAAAAAAATTATATGAAACTTCATATTGCAACAACTTAGTTATTTTTAGCAAACTCACGTCCATCAGAAAAACTTATCATATAATTCTTTTTTCCACAATATATGGACATATACGCAATACAAAAGTTGAAGTAATTTATAATGGAAAAGCAAATTTTAATTTTTTTTTCTAGTCTTTTATAACATAATATTGTTGAAATATTTTATAATATAGTAACTTATATTAAAAATCGTTTGTAATCATTATGATGAAAAAGTCACTATTTATCATCATTTATAATTTTTTAAAAAAATCAGTATTTATCATCTTTGTCATTGTTAATAAGTGGTTAAGAACAACAATTACAAGCAACACATTAGCATCATGGTCCGTTTAGTCCATATGAAAACACGAATGACCATGAGACATATGTAAACTTCCTATCAACTTACTATATGAATTTCTACATATGTTCACAATAATATAATCATCATGAATCCTAACTATAGGACCTAAATCCTTTATGTTCTAATAAAGTTAGCTAAGCTCCAAAATGTTGAAAATTGATTTGAACCGAGTCATGGGTTTTCACTTCTTCAATCCATATTCTATGATTGTACAAGTATACATCATTATGTGCATTACAATCAACACTAAACACTCTGGTAGTATATTATGTGAAGAAGAAGAAGAAGAAGAAGAATTTTAGCATATCGAATTTGAAAGCTTCATGTGAAAGTAAAAAATTATGCAAATAGAAGCAAATGCTTATGGACATATGGTGTTCTGTTCCCATATCCTTTCACAAAAAAAGTAGATTTATTCAATATTGTACCTAGGAATTTACACTTTTTACACCATCTGTGTATGGTCTATACATTTTCACCTTCAATTCAAATGGCATGTTTTTTTTTAACAAACCAGACCTCCATTTTAATCTTCCACTAGTGAAGGTGAAGCCTGTAAATCACTCAGTGTCATCTACTCCAAGTCAAATCGATTTGAAAGAATCCTTTTTTTTTTTGTCTAGTTTTGGGGCTCTTATCTTCTTATGCAGACTGGACACTTGTCACCTGGCCAGTGGCTGTTTGCTCATACTCAGCACAAGCCTCGGGTGTGTCTTCCTCACTTGGTGGCACCAACTGCCAAAACAGGGGCAAATATTTGTCCCATTCTTTCAAGATAGTAGCACCTTTTGTGCTCCCGGTTTTTTCCTACATGAAATAAATAAAAACAACTCATCATAGTTTCTTTTTGACTTAATGCAGAAAGAAAGAAAGGACTTAATATTTGATATTGTTTCTACTTACAACATGTGCTTCGATAAGGCTTTTGAGTTGCATCTGGCCCACAGGTGCAACCACTCTCTGAATCTTCACAATCTCTTTATTTATCTGTTATTGTAGTTATATAATAACAATTGATTTAATTATATTCCAAAATCTAAATGCAGAAAAATAGAAAATGTTATGTTTGATAGAAAAGAAACCTTGGGAATGAGGGTATCATCGTCATCAAGAATATATGCCAAACCTCCAGTCATTCCAGCTGCCACGTTTCTTCCAACTCTACGAAACAAGAACCAAACAGGTAAGTCCTAACCTAACTATTTACGTATTTGCCCTTTTCTCAAAAAAAAAAAAAAGATGGTCTTACTTTCCAAGGACAACAACACAACCGCCTGTCATGTACTCACAACAATGATCACCGGTCCCTTCCACCACCGCCTGAGCAAGTGAGTTTCTGACCGCAAACCGCTCCCCGGTTTTGCCTCTGACAAAAAGTTGACCGCCTGTGGCTCCATATAAGCATGTGTTCCCTACAATTGCAGCTTCCTCAGGGACAAAACCGGTATTTTCAACAGGCTTCACAACCAGTTCACCTCCAGCCATACCCTAACACCCCACAACACAACAAAACCTCCCAATGTAAGAATTTTAATTTTTTTTTTTTTAAAGTTAATGCATATATTATATATATATGTGAGAATCAGACCTTTCCCACGTAGTCATTTGCTTCTCCTACTAGTAGTATGTTCATTCCTGGTGTAAGGAAACATCCAAATGATTGTCCAGCACTCCCTTCAAATCTAGAATAATGGGAAAATATGATTAATTAAATAAGTTGTGAGATTAATGTTAGTTATTATTATAAATAGTTTATATTAAATTTAATGTCTTACGTTATGTTGAGCTGCCCTGCAAAACCGGTATCTCCATATCTTTTAGCAACAGCACCTGCTAAACGCCCACAAACAGCACGATCCACATTGTATATCTTGAAGGTTTTGTTTACCACTTTTTCATTTTCAATTGCATCTGATATCTGCACACAAAAAAAAAAATGTAAAATCTTGAAAAAAGGAATTGTACTGAAGAAAGAATTAGTAAATTACCTCAATGTCAGAAAGAATAATGTCATCAAGAACAGGGCCGTTACTATGCACCTCCTGCTTTCTGATGGTGGTGCTGCTCCATTTTGGGAACCCAACATTCTGAGAAATGAAAATTTTAATATTACCGTTTTTGTTTTTATTTTTTTTCAAACAAAAAAGAAATGTGGTTTTGAGAGTGTAAAGAGACATACAGAAAGCATGTAGCTAAGATCAAGATGCTGAGTTTTGACTAAGGAGATATCTCGAGGTCTTAATAGCTCTGTGTGTCCGATAATGTCATCAAGCTTTTCGTATCCCAGTTGAGCCAATGTGCTTCTAACCTGCAAGTAAATACAAGATATAAATTTTTATATATATATTTTTTATAACAATATAAAAAACAAAGAGATTAGAGTTGAAAGAAATAAATTACCTCCTCAGCAACATACAAAAAGTAGTTCACAAGATCACCAGGTACACCAGGAAAACGAGCACGTAGCTCTTCTCTCTGAGAGATATAAAGAAAGTATGTAACAATATATTGGTTAAAAGAGTAAAATATGTTTTTTTTTTGAAGGGAGGTGGGTCCCACCCAGTACCTGACTGGCAACGCCAACTGGACAGTTATTGGTGTGGCAAATGCGGGCCATGACACATCCGGTTGCAATCATTGCAACTGAACCAAATCCATATTCATCTGCACCCATTGCAGCAGCCATAAGAACATCTACTCCACTTTTAAACCCACCATCAACTCTAAGAATCACTCTTTCTCTTAGACCATTTGATATCAGAGTCTGCATTACCAAAACATCACATCATTTTACTTAACAATTAACAAACAACAATCATTCAAATCTTAAAATAGAATAAAATAAAACCTGGTGTGTTTCTGTGAGTCCAAGTTCCCAAGGACCACCAGCATGCTTGATTGAACTTATTGGACTGGCTCCAGTTCCACCATCATGTCCTGATATCTGCAAAAGGGAAATCATGTATTTCAATATGTTAACGTCTGATTAGATGTTAGTTAAAATTAGTTGAATTTCTGTTAAAATCAGTTAGAAGGGCATTTTATTAATTAAATAGCAAATAAACAAAAGTACGTTGCTTCCATACCTGAATAACATCAGCATTACCCTTTGCAACTCCAGAAGCCACCGTGCCAATTCCCGCTTCTGCCACCAGCTTGACCGAAACCTTAGCCTTTGGATTAATCTGGTCACAACATAAAATCTCAAAACTCATTATTCTCAATTCATTCATATCAACAAAAGTTGTGTGAATAATATTTAACATGTTTTCACACCTGATGAAGGTCAAAAATCAATTGAGCAAGATCTTCAATAGAGTAAATATCATGATGAGGTGGCGGAGAAATAAGCGGGACCCCCGGTTTGGAATTTCTCAACCTTGCAATATACGCACTGACTTTCTTCCCTGGTAATTGACCACCTTCACCCGGTTTTGCACCTTGTGCAATTTTAATTTCAATCTGATCAGCATTTACTAAAAAAGTTGGAGTCACACCAAATCGCCCTGATGCCACCTGTTTTATGGCACTTGTAGCCGTATCCCCGTTCTGAAGACCTTTAAGATGTGGCAGTGTGGGTGAGTATCCATCAACCACATCCGAAAGTGGGGTCCACCGAATCGGATCCTGAATCATTTACCAAATATCTATATTATCTATATCAAATGTTCTTCCTTCTTTTAGGAGATGATTTTTTATTGAATCACCTACCTCACCACCTTCTCCGGAATTGGACTTTCCGCCTATTCGGTTCATTGCAATGGCGATTGCTTCATGGGTTTCACGGGATATAGCCCCGAGAGACATGCCACCTGTACAGAAACGTTCAACAATTGATGCAGCGGATTCCACCTTTCCAACTGGAATCGGAGATCGCTCGCTTTTAAACTCAAAAAGATCACGAATCACCTGTGGTAGGTCACAAATTGGAATCACATCCGTCAGTTATATTATATGTTGTCCTTCATATTTACATTCTTACAAACAGATATATTATGTTATCATTTATTATTTAATATATTTATACTTACATTGACAGGTCTGTTTGCAAGATGCTGTTGGTAGACTGAATATGCACTCTCACGCTTCTCACGAACTGCTTTATGAAGTAGTTTTGACATCTCCGGGTTGTTACCATGATATTCACCTTTTAAATTATTAGACAACAAAACAAAATTACAAAATTACTCTGCAAGTTTTATCTTTTATGTATGTGTTTCCTGAAATAAACCAAACCATATGGAAAAATCAGTGTCTTTAAGTAAGTAAGTACCTCCTGGTCTCATTTGTATAAATCCAAAATTTTCAAGTCTTTTAGCTGTGTCCTCTGAAAAAGCCTTTACCCAAAATGATAGACTCTCTCTTGCAAGCTGTGAGGAGAAAAAGATCAAACTTCAGTTTAAAACTTATTTAAAGTTGAAAAAGTGATGATCTTTTAATGTATGTATGTATGTATGTATGTATGTACCTCATCAAAAGTTAATCCACCGATCTTTGAGACACTCCCAGAAAAAGCAAAATCAACGACATCTTGACCCAATCCATAAATCTCAAATATCTGTGCACCACAATAACTTGACAACAAGGAAATTCCCATTTTGGATAAAATTTTCATTAAACCAGAATTAACAGCCTTGCGGAAGTTATTTTGAGCTTTTTCAATTGTAACCATTTGCATCTTTCCATTCCTCATAAGGTTCAAAGTTTTCTTGCTCAATCGCCACTGTCTACATGTCTCTAATGCCAAGTAAGGACACACAGCACTACAACAAAATTGATTCAATAATAAACAAATAAATCATCTGAGCTTGCAACTTGCAATGAAAATGTCAGAAAAAAAAATATAAATACCTTGCACCATATCCAATCAAACAAGCAAAGTGATGTGTACTGAAGCATTGAGCAGTGTCAGCAACAATAGATGCAGACATTCTCAGTCCATTCTGTATCAAATGTTGGTGGACTGCACCTACTGCAAGCAGTATTGGAATAGCAGGACGTGTGGCTTCCTGCCAAACACACACACACACATGTTTATTAGTATGAGACACATTCTGCATGATATATATATATATATACACACACACACACACACACACAGTGCTTACTAGTTCATCAGATCTGTCAGAGAGGACAAGTAGCTGGCAACCATTTCTAACAGCTTCATCAGCTGCTTCACAGAGCTTATTCAGTGTCTTTTCCAAGGATCCATCAAGACCCTTTCGTATGTCAAAAAATGTTGGTATAATTTGAGCTTTCAAATACGGATCTTTAAATAATAATTCAAGCTCCCCTTCATTGAGTACAGGATTGGACAAAGTCACCTGGGAAAAGATACCAAGTGTTTGCTTTAGTTAAAAGGACAACATGCATGGTATGTTCAGGAAAAAAGAATAATAGAGGAAAATAAGTTTTAGAGAAGAAAATAATATAATAAGGAATGAGAAATTAGTCCATTTACCTGAGAGGCATTTTCGGGTCCAACCTCTAATATGTTGCCACGCTTACCAAGATTGACTTCAAGAGACATGACTAATCCTTCTCTAAGTGGATCAATTGCAGGATTTGTAACCTGGATATGATAATGCATAATGAAGTTAATTTCATTTTAAAAGATGCTACAAAATAGGAAGAATCAAATGAGATAGATGAAAATGAAACCTGAGCAAACCGTTGCTTGAAATAATCATAAAGCATATGTGACTTCTGAGATAATACAGCTAAAGGAATATCATCTCCCATGCAAAAAGTAGGCTCCTTCCCTTCTGAAGCCATGGTTTCAATAACCATTTGCACATCCTCACTCGAGTAACCATACGCCCTGTTCATGTCAAAATGATCATCATTAGATTTCACAAAAGGACAAAATATTGTCTGTGCAAAAAGACGTGAATGCCCTTCTTACTGTTGGCGGCGTAATGTTGTTTCATTCTCCATGGTTGGGGCAGAGAGGTAACTTGCAGACTCCAACTTTCGCATGTTTTCAGATATCCACTTTCCATAAGGATTCGATAAAGCAACTCTTTTTTTAACCTCTGTGTTCTCATAAACCTGTTTCAAACTTTCAATATCAGCAAATATTCAGTTCATATATGCTTTTTACAAAGATTACAATTTTGTACATACCTGGCCATTGACTAGGTCAACTGTTATCATCATCCCTGGACCTAGACGCCCTTTCATTGTCACTTTTGAATCATCAATTGGTAGAACACCAACCTATATTAAGATAACAAGCTCTAATAATTGTAACACAAACATGGTGAAAAGAGAAGCTAATATGAAAAGAACACACACACACACACACACACCTCAGATGCAACATAGACAACATTGTCTACAGTTCTCCAATATCTAGCAGGGCGAAGTCCATTACGATCAAGACAAGCTCCAACTGTTTTCCCATCACTGTTTTTCAATACAAGTTTTTAAAGTCATTCTTTTATGTTGTATAAAGACAATGTTGCCTAAAAGAGTAATTAGAGATTCTACCTAAAGAGGAGTAATGCAGGTCCATCCCAAGCCTCCATTTGGCCCTTGTAGTAGTTGTAGAAATCAAGAACCTAAAAGAGACATACATTATACATAATAGTTAGTTATAACTTATAATATCATCTTTAACTACAAGTTCAAGAAACATAAATACCTCGGGATATTTGATTGACAAAGTTGGGTGATTCTTGTATGCCTCAGGGACAAGAATCATCATAGCTTCTTCAGGGTTACGCCCACTTCGTATAAACAACTAATTATAAATGTTTTATCAGTTAACTAGCTAAAAAAACAACTATGTTGATGTATTATACAAAAAGAAATATGCTTTACTTCTGCTGCACTATCAAGATTTGCAGAGTCAGATGCCTTGGGATTTCCAAAAGGCCTAATTTCATTTTCACGACCTCTCCAAACAGGTGACTTCAATGAGTTCTCTCTAGATTGCATCCAGTTTAAGTTTCCCTGCATCATTAGTTTTTTGAGTATATTTTTCAAAGTAAAATGTTGTAAACTTGTAATATGAAGGAGATTTCAATTTTCAAGGCATTGTAATTTGTACCTGTATGGTGTTGATCTCTCCATTATGACCCAAAAGCCTCATGGGTTGAGCAAGAGGCCACCTAGGACTTGTATTTGTGCTGTATCTTCGGTGATAAATGGCAAAAGGGGATTTATAAATATCACTTTGGAGATCATAGTAAAATTTTCCAAGAACCTCTGAACGAAGCATTCCTTTATAAACTATGGTTCGATTTGATAATGAACAGAAATAAAGTTCACTTCCCCATGTTTCTGAACTAACTGCCCTTTCAATCAACTTGCGACATATATAAAGTTCTCTTTCGATATCATCAATGTCATCTTCTTTGTTGATTTTAACAAAAACTTGTTGTATATTTGGCATGGTTTCTCTTGCGTAGAAACCAACAATAGGGGCGTTTATGGGAACAGACCTCCATGCAAGCACCTCAAGACCCTCTTGATTGAAGATATTTACAATAACTACAAAAGCATTTCAAAACAGGAGATTTAGATAGTGTTTGTTTTTCACTTAATTGAGAAAGTCGGGCAAATGGTACTGAAAACTTACTGGATTTGGCTTGTTCCATAAGGGTTTCATCCGTTGGAAGGAAAACCATTCCAACTCCTGTATGCAATTGATCGAAGGGGGAAATCCCTTGTTTTTCAGCCCAATCATTAAAAAACTCCCATGGAATTGAAGTCATCAACCCCGAACCATCACCGGAATCATTATCTGCCCCACAACCTCCCCGATGTTCCATGCAGCCAAGAGCTGTGAGTGCATCTTCAACTATCTGATGCGAACCCTTGTTGTCCAAATTAGCTATAAACCCAACTCCACACTCCCCTTTTTCTGCTAATATTTCTTCCAAATTTGCAACCTACAAAAACAAATCACTCAACATTGTTCAGATGCTCAATTTAGTCAACTCTCGATTTTGAAGAGAAGTATAAGGTCCGGTTTCTGTCAGTATAATGGTGTATTGGTCGTCGACTCTGCTCCTCCTTTGTTTATTAGAAAAAATATCGATCTGCTATAGAACTTACTGAAACTAAAGGGAATAATGAATTGGATTACCGATTTAAACAATCAACGAAATTGAAAAAACGAAATCACACCTTCCGTTTGGAATCAGAAGGTTGCTGGGCGTCCACATGATCAACACGATCAAAATCGAGAACCGATTTGATCGAACACGACCAGTTCCTGTTCTTCGGGAACCCTCCAACACTCTTGAGAGCACTCGCACCAGCTCCAAGTAATCTCCGATTACTTCGTTTAGCGCCTAAACCCACAAAATCTAGAAACAAAAAGTCTCTTTTGGTGGCGAAAACAGAAGTGGGTTTTAGATAGTAGCCATTAACGTGAGCTACAGACTGAAGAGACATGCTAATAACAGACGCAAAGGCTAGAAGAACAAAAGCATGTAGTTGTAAGTATGAAGTGTGACAAAAGAGAGAGAAAGATGGGGAGGGAAGATCGTGTGGAGAATGGGAGAGAATGAGGGATGTGAAGATAAAATGGAAGGAAAGTTGGAGCCACCCGCGGCTCTATCTCTCTTTTACAAAGCTTGTTCCTGGTTGATGTTTACTTCATGGATGTGAAATGGACGCAGGGTGGACACATGTAATCTGACCGTATATTTACACCAAAGGACATCATCACTCCTTGATAGTTTTTGGATGCTACTATTCAGATTATACTATTCTACCCACACAAAGTTAATCAAAAGGTCAACAATTTTGATTCTAGTTTATGACCTAAAGATTCTAATGATTAATGGAGCCACGACTACATAATCTAGAAGAGTGAACCCTAGGACTTGATACCTCACTTTAGACTTAGATTTGATTTGAGATGATTTGAGAACAGTAGGTTCTTATAACAAAGATAAAATTGCAAAAACGCCCACCTGGTTGTCAAATATTAGGTGTATTTGCTTCAAAAAAGTTTGGTGGTGTATTAGTGATCCAATTTTGAATATCTTGTATTTTTGGTTCTCAGGCGGGTGGGTGTGGGCTCGGCAAACTCAGCGCACACGGGGCCGGCCCTTAGGCTTGTTGAGCTCAGCTCGGTATCTCTGTTAATATATGTTGAGTTTTGTTGACCAATGGGAAAGTGGGGTAGCTGGCAACGTCTACTTCCATTTAATTTTTCTTTTTAAAAAAAAACGCATGTAAATACTACAACTTCAAACCATTTTAACTCATCAACATCAACTTATAACTCAAATATACTCTCTCAAAATGTTGTCTTCGTCATCTTCATCTGGCATGTTTGATGCCTTGCTTGAAACGACTATAGAGGTTATTCAAGAAACAAAGCACATGATCAACCAACTACAAGAAGAAAATGCATAGAATGCACACACGAGGAATAGAAGATACATACAAAGATTTCGTGAGGTGGCTAATGATCGACTCATGCAAAATTACTTTGTGGATGACGCCAAATTTATAGGATATTATTTTCGCCGTCGGTTCCGTATGCATAAATCTCTGTTTTTACGTATAGTCAACGACGTCACGGCATCGTGTCCATTTTTTCAACAACGTCGAGATGCTAGAGGTACAATTCGTTTTACTCTTATACAAAAATGCATCGCTGTACTTCGTCAATTAACGTATACCACTTGCCCCAATGCACTAGAGGAGAACCTTAGGATGTCCAAACGTGTTGCACGAACTAGCCTTCACAAATTTTGCAAGTATGTCATGAGATTATATGGTCCACGATATCTACTCAAACCTACTTGTAGTGACATCCAACAATTGTATACTCATCAGTCAAATGTGCACGACTTTCCTGGAATGTTAGGAAGCCTAGATTGCCTCCACTAGGCATGGGGTTGTTGTCTGAATGCAACCATTATACTTGAAATGGTGGTGTCACAGGATATGTGGATATGGCATGCATTCTTTGGCTCAGTTGGCTCCCTTAATGACATCAACGTTCTTAACATGTCTCCGTTACTTGATGACATATACAACGGGACTGCACCAGACTCCTCTTTTCAAGTAGCTAGAACATCGTATAGGAACGCGTATTATCTGGAGCGTGTTTTTTGTTGAAGTCATTGTCTTGTCCAGATGATTGGAAAAGGTTGAAGTTTAAGAGAGCTCAAGAGTGGGTGAGAAAGGATGTTGAACGAGCATTTGGAGCTTTGAAAAAAAAACGTTGGCATATTCTTAAATATATCGCGTCGTATATGGAAGAGAAGAAAATAAACGAAGTGATGTATACTTGTATCATATTGCATAATATGATTCTCGAAGGCGAAGGAAATGCAATATGCGAGTATAACGAAAATGAGATCGTCCACCGACACAAGCTTTTGAGGTTGGAAGCGCGGAGTACATGTCAAGGAGGGCACTAGTTGATGATGTTGAGACGCATCATGTTCTTCGTAGGGACTTGAAGGAACATATTTGGAACGTCAACCACATTGATCTTAACACGGAACCGATCGACGATTTGGAAGGTCTCCGATGAAGATGTTCTTTAGGTCTATCTAGTTTTAGTAATTTGAGTTTGTATGTTTTTAATTTTAAATTCTGTTTTTTTTTTTTTTTTTTTTTGTATTATTTTGAATTTTTGTGTTTTTATTTTAAGTTTAATAAATTTTTAGTTTTTAAAAAAAGGAAAACTACAATAAAGTCCCTACATATTAGCTTTATAATCGAGTTAGTCCCTATATATATTTTTTTTATTCAATTAAGTCCCAAAAACCGGTAATCGTATTCAGTTTAACCCCTTGACCCGGTCAACAGGTCATCCAACTTTTGAAAATTACATTTTTGGCCCAAATGTTGAAATTTATTACAAATTTGGTCCAAATTTTACACTTTTGGCCTAGATGTTAATTTTTTTTACAAATTTGGTCCAAAGTATACCCTTTTAGCCCAAATTTTAGAATTTTGTTACGAATTCATCCTAGTTTTAGTTATTTTACAACTTTTCTTCTTCAAAAAAAATGTACTCGTCTTTATCTTCTATTATTTTTGAAGTGTACTATGAATTTAGGTAGAAAATATAATAATTTACATTAAAACGACAATTATATAGTGCTAACAATAGGTCATTCATGTTGTGGCATTGTTATCACACAAATAAACATTATTTTCACACAATAAAGAGACTTAAATTAGTGAAAAACAACTTTTAGTATCATTTTTTTTTAAGTATACTATTAAGTTTAAGAGCCAAAAAGGACTAATAAGCACATTGTTGTTGACAATAAGCCATTTATATCAATGTAGCGGTATAATAATGTCATCGTAGCACTATAATACACAAAAAGCATTGTTTTTACAGATAAAAAGAAACATACTTAATATCTTATGTTATTGGAAATGCTCTAGAAACCGTCAAAATGTACCATGTCAACAATACATAAAACTATGTCATTTGTAAACCTAGCGACACTATTGATAAACTTTGAAACGTTTATAAATATGAGCCACTTTTATTTTTTGAACTATTAACTAAGATAACGTACTTTAAAAAGTCTACCTAATGATGTTGTGTTTTAATATCTTCGTTGTACTTTAAAAAAAATATCTTTGTATTTGGTTTATGGTTAGGTAGGTTGTTCAAAATACAATGTTATAATAAGAATCAATGAAATTAAGCATACTATTATTTCTTGCATTTAACTCTTTCTTTATTTATCATATGTTTTTATGTTGAACATAGAACAAAAAATATATATTGTTTAACATATTAAACAAGTTAAACAAGAAAATATTATTAAAAATCATTGGTATAAGTTTGAAAGTACTGAACATCTATTTTTAATGTTAAATATAACTAAAAAGATCACAAAATTTTTTTATTTTTATTAATTACTATGCTTCCAAACGCAAAACATTCGAATTCATAAAGAAAAAACATTCAAATTTTTTTTGAATAAAAAAAGTTGTAAAAATAAATAAAATTACAATGTATTCATAACAAAATTCTCAAAATTGGGCCAAAAGGGTATATTTTGGACCAAATTTGTAAAAAAATTAAAATTTGGGCCAAAAGTGTAAATTTTGGACCAAATTTGTAATAAATTTCGAAATCTGGGCCAAAAATGTAATTTTCGAAAGTTGGATGACCTATTGACCGGGTCAAAGAGTTAAATTGAATGCGATCACCGGTTTTTGGGACTTAATTGAATAATATATATATATATATATATATATATATATATATATATATATATATATATATAAGGACTAAATCGATTATGAGGCCAATATGTAGGGACTTTATCGCAGTTTTCCCTTTAAAAAATGTTATGTTTGAAATATTTATTTTGTATATATATATTTTTTTAAAAAGGTAGCAAGGCAAGTGTGGCAACCACGTCTACCAAATGATAACCTATGGTAAGAATGTGTAAAGTGTGATGTGGCTTCTACGTGAATCATGGCAAGTGTGGCACCACACCACTAGCCTTATATTTGATATTTAATGTGGTTTTGATCCATACTCCACCTAAAATGATGCATATACCCTTAAATAATCCTTTTTTACTTTCTTTTAATTGTTTTCTTTATATTTTCAGTAAAGATAAATACAAAAAAATAAATAAATAAATAAAATAATCAAACCCACCCCTCGTAAGTCACACACACTCCTTACATTAACTATATTTTTCTCTCTCACTTCATTTTTTACTGACACCACCACTACCGATTGACCACCATTTGTTGCACCACCACCATCTATATGTCATCGGACCATCACAACAATCATATATGTTTGTTGTTAGCTAGAAACCACCACTTCCGTCAGTAACTTTACCCTTCATCTTTGTTTTCTCTGTATAAAACTACCACCACCTTCGGATCTACCCGTTTTTAGAAAGAAACCATCACCATCCCCGATATTGCTTCCTTTTATCTTCGTCTTCATACCAGTAAAAGAGGGAGAAAGAGATGCGGAGAAACCCATATCGTCGTGATCCAGATCTATAAATCGACTCTTCTTCACCGGTGAAGGTGGTCTTACAATGGTTTTCAGATTCGACGACAGAGAGGAAGAGGATTTAGATGACGATGGAGATGGAGAGCCTTCTAAAAATTCAACCTCTGACGAGAAGGGAGGCAGTCGTAACGGTCCAGATATGTAACACCATCTAATGTTCAGACGGCTTTGGTGAAGGTGGTTTCTCTAGGGATGGATCATATGGTTTTCCATCGGTGGTTCCTGACGATAATGACATCGTTTTTCGATCTGAGCATGCTTTTTTGACGAGGAAGATGCGTGAGGGATGGGGTTTTTCTGGTAGGTGGAGAGAGAAAGAAAAAAGGAGATAGAAATATATAGAGAAAAGGGAGAGAGAAATGAGGTAGGTGGGTGGGTGAGAGGCGAATACGGTGGTTAGCGATGGATGATGGTAGTTGGCGGTGGGTGGTGGTGTACAGTGGTAGTAGTCAGTGGTGATGGTGACAGAAGGTGGTGGATGTCGGTGGTGATAGTGGTAGGTCGGGGTGGAATGTTCTTGAGTGTGTGTGTGTGTGTGTGTTTATGAATATGTACGCTCATAAGTGTGTATGTGTGTGTTCTATAAGTCAGATGGAGATAGAGAGGGGGTGGGTCATTTTTTAATTTTTAATTAATTAAAAATATTATCATAAATTAAAAAATTAAAAAACAAATTTA